TTTATCTAAGGTGCACAGTTTATATTTTATTAATTTTTTTTTGCTGAAGACTGGCTGACTGTTATTTAAATTTCTATCAAAAAACAACTTGTTTTTTTCTTTAAATAGTTTAAAGCTGTTGGTGTATATGGATATCTTTTACTTTTTGAAAAGGCATTGGCAAATGATTCATTTTTGTGAGAATCTATTATAAATGCTTCCTGTATAATTGATTCTGCAGAAGAAAGCCTATGTGTTTGGGCTCTTATTCTACTATGTACATTTTCAACAAAGTAATCATTAAAATTGACTAATGAATTTTCCAATAATTTGGCAAAAGGGTGATTATTATTTTTCCAGTAAAAATAATCTGATAGGAAAGCTAATGGAAGTTTTTTATAATTTCTTCTCTTCCATCTTAGGAAAAAAGTCCAGATTCTAAAAATTGTCTCTACATATTGTTCAAAGGCTCCTGATCGAAAAAGTACAGCATATATATCCAAGATTGCTGGAATAATATTATCTAACAGATCTATCATCATTCTGTACTCTGTATCTTTAGTCTTTCCAAATTTTTCCACAATCATATTAGAAATTTCTAACCAACCGTCATGTGCAAACTGAAGAATATAATTAATCTTCCATGGTTTGGGTTTTTCTGGAAATTTTGTCTTTTCAAAAACATTACAATATAACTTTTTGAAAAAATCATGATATAGTATAACAACATCTTCACGTGAATTAAGAGAAACATGTAAAGGTCCTAAAATTGGAATAAAGTTAAGTATGCAATCCTGATTATTTTGTTGAATATTATTTTGCTGATTTTTTAAATACAATGTGATTGCTTTTCTTATAAAAAGTTGGCCTGGAAAGTCTGCTATTATAGGTATAGGATGTGCTTTAATATATTCCACCAGTGATTTGATATCTGTAATCATTTTAGTTGCAGTAAGGTAGTCTTCTAGAGAGTGAAGATTTTGTTCCTTTATATCTAAAATTCTAACAGTTTTCATTGATCTCTCTTCTTTCCTTTCTTCAATATTTGCATTATATAGGTGCACTGATAAACGATCTAATTCATCAAAATCATTCTCATTTATCATTTCATTTTGGATCCATTCTTTTTTAATATAATTATAACTTAGATCAAAATGACCTTTATAATCATTAATTAATCTGTAAATGATTGTTGATGCTTCAATATTCTTTGGATTAAAGAGTGGTATGTTGTTGCAATTAGCAGGAATTGCCAAAACATTTTCTATCTTTTTAGCAATGCATGTTGCCATATGTGTTGCTGAAGATAATGAGGTAGAATTAGGTCTTCTCCATTCATGAATTGAATGATAATCATCAATATTAAAACAGTGCATGTATTTACACTAAAATAAAGGTAATTATTTAATTTGATAATCATTAAATAAACTTAAATAAAATTAATCTTTCAATTAACTTACATTATTGGCAAAATATTTTTCAATTTCTTTAGGATGGTTTGCTTTTATTGTTTTCTTATAATTTTCAATTGTTTTATATGATGCAGATATACCCGCATTTGATAATGTCTCAATTGCAGCAGCACTTGTACCATTTTCTGCTAAATAAAGACCAAGGTCCAATTTGAAGGT